CCCCTCCCCCAACCAGATGCGGATCCAAGTGCCACGGTTCAAGATTCAGATACACTGTCCCCGACACCGACCTCAACAGAAGCCGCTATCTGCCCACTTGTGGACGAAATCATTCCAGTCTATCGACGAAAGAGTCACGAGGAGGTTTACTGTGGATCCCATGTCTATCCCGGCCTCGGAACATACCTGTTCAAATTTGACAATTCCTATTCGCTCTGGCGGTCCAAAACGTTGTACTATCGGGTCTATTATACTTGTTAACTCCATACAAATCCCCGTTCCGTACGTGACTGCATGAACACATGGGGTGAAGCACTTGCATGAGGTCGACAGCCACCCGGATGGTCGTTTCGACAATGCACGTATATTTCTTCGTCACCATTACCCCACCTCACCATATTTGTTGTTATTCTCTCAGGAGGGGACTGTTCATACTCGCACACACACACACACACCAACATGCATCCGTCACTGCTCATCTGTTTTGCTTTTTTGGCTGTGAATCCCCATCTGCCTATGTTTTCGAGAACGCATAACCGTGTTTCATCAGTAGCTCGTTTACGCTCACTCACAGCCGCTGCATGATAATTCACGGATAGGTTTCCCTATTCTCTCTCTCTGCTATCATAGCCACTCAGTCTACTTCTCATGGCTGTTCGCGTATCTAACACGGGGTAAGCTGTTTATCTCGTCACAATTTGGACTTCGTTTCTCCCCTCACTCTCTCTGATACACATACGTCCCCCCGACTCGCTCACCCCGTGATGCACAAACCGAGCTCTGTTTCGTTGTTCATTTTCCCCTTTGACCTCGGACGTTTGTTTTCTTGAATGCTTCGCCCCTCACCTCCCCGTCCAGACCTTGCCTTATACAACCTCTTTCCCATTCATTTTTTCCCGCGGAACTCTCTCACCGTCTGGTTCCCCATGTTATTACAACCAAAATGTGATGGGGATTATCCTGTCCCCCTTGGTACTCGTATTTTTCGTTTTATGCATTCATTGTGATCATATTTCCCTGTTCCAGACGGAAGCCAATGGTTAGATCTCAGCATGTGTAAGATGCCCACGTAACCCCGTCATGCGTTCGAGCGGATAGTGTGCGTTGAAAGCGTTCGAAATAAAAAACAAAAATTAGTCTCACATACATCCTTTCTCTCATACAACTTGCACGCTAACTTTTCTCCGGGAGTTGGTCCTACACAAGAATTTCAACTGCTTTTTTCCCTTTTTTGTTTAGAGTTCGGTGTTCCAGGTTTTGCAAGTATTCCTGCTCCACCTACGAGGTTAATGTAGGTCCGACTTCGTCAAACGTATTTGATATGGCCCTCAGTGGATGGTGCTTGAGTTTTATCGAAGATCGTACATGTTAACTTCTTTACAACTACAAAACTCGAAATAACTGATAAGCTTTGGCCATGCAATGAACTGATAGGTGCGTCGTTTGTCCTTGCTGAATAAAAAAGCATACATATACATATATTTAGTGTTCAGTTGTTCATTGAGCTTGGTAATTATATTGCAAACGTCTCATCATCAATCGAGGTGACATTCTCGATGCAATAACTGGGTGAGTGCTTACGAGTGTCTTTCCTCATATAGGTCGTTGAGTGATGTAGAGACGTGGCGTTGCCTGATTGGCCAAGGTTTGTCCGCTTTGTGCCGAGAGAGGATGAGCTGGACGCGAGCAGTCTGATGATAGGCCGTTGATCGATCAGTCTAAGCGTTACTGTTGTCCAGTTGTCACGTGATACTACTCACCTTCTTTGCGTTGATTGGTATTATTGTTGCATAGGGGTGTAAACCTGATCGATCTCAATGTATCGGTTGACCGAGCTTTCCGATGAAACATCAGTGTGCAGAAAGAAGATCCACACGAATCAAATCCTGGGATACACCAACAACCACCCAACCTGTCGCAAGAAGAGTTGCATTCGGACACTTTTCGAAAGGGCCAAAACACACTGCAGCACTGAAAAGCTGAGGCAGCAAGAGGAGAAATACCTCTATCAAGTATTCCTCTACAACGGCTACACCCGCAACTTCGTCAAACGGACAATAACTCGAACACAACAACACACAAGGACAGACAGACAACCGAACAAACGAATAACCCTACCGTATGTGAACAACATCTCTGAAATGATCACGAAAATACTGAAGCCGCACAACATTCAAGTCGCCCACAAACCAGCGACGACCCTACGGAGAATCTTATCGCAAACCAAGAAGCAAAAAGAAGATAAAAATCGAA